AAAGTCATGATAGAGGCTTGGCACCTGTAGCTCAAGCAGCTAGGGCACCAGCCACATACACCTGAGCTGGCGGGTTCAAATCCAGCCCAGAGCCTGCCAAACAGCAATGACAGCTGCAACCAAAAAATAGCTGGGCATTGTGGCAGGCACCTGTAGTCCCAGCTACTTGGGAGGCGGAGGCAGGAGAATCACTTGATCCCAGGAGTGAGGTTGCCGTGAGCTGTAATGCCATGGCACTCTACCCAGGGCCACAGCTTGAGGCTCTGTCTCAAAAAAAAAAAGAAAAGAAAGTCATGATAGAAGCTGATCCAAGTACAGTAATGTTTGCAACTAATTGATCACAAACATTTACAGATTTCTTTGTTCCTTCTCCACTCCCACTGCTTCACTTGACCTAAAATAAATTAAAAAATAATTTTAAAAAAGACAGTCATGATAGAAATACATCTCTCTCTGTTAACAGAAGGGACTCAGACATGGGGAGAGACTCCAGAATCAGAACCACATTCTCCCTGTGCTGAAAGAAAGGCAGCTGGAAAAGAAAGCCCTGCAAAGATCTCTGTGGCATTGGTCAAGTCACTCCCTCTGAGCCTATGTCCTGATCTGTGAAGTGGAAATGATGGGGACAGGTGTATGGAGATGATTCATAAGACCACAGCCAGCACCTGTTAGAATGGCTAACCTTGGCAGTCTGGCCAATACTGGGGCATTCTGACCCAACTCTTACACCTTCTTGATCTTTTTGTGTTTCTCTTTAAAAGGAGCAGTTTATCGAACTTTGCAAGACCCTTTACAACATGTTCAGTGAAGACCCCATGGAGCAAGACTTGTACCATGCCATTGCCACAGTGGCCAGCCTCCTCCTCCGTATTGGTGAAGTAGGAAAGAAGTTCTCGGGCAGGAAGCCCAGGGACGGTGCCCACAGTGGGGACCACGATGTTGCCACAGAAGACGAGCCATCAGCACATGAGCCCCATCAGGATGCAACCCGGGAGGCCCAGCCACCAGCTGGAGGAGACCCCCAGGCCAAAGCCGGTGGTGACACCCACCTGGGAAAAGCACCACAGGAGAGCCAGGTGGTGGTTGAGGGGGGCAGTGGTGAGGCACCTTCTCAGCTGTTATCCGATGATGAGACCAAAGATGACATGTCCATGTCCTCCTACTCAGTGGTCAGCACAGGCTCCCTGCAGTGTGAGGACCTCACTGATGACACGGTGCTGGTGGGGGGTGAGGCCCGCAGCCCCACAGCACATATTGGAGGCACCGTCGACACTGACTGGTGCATCTCCTTCGAGCAGATCCTCGCCTCCATCCTGACAGAGTCTGTGCTGGTGAACTTCTTTGAGAAGAGAGTAGAAATTGGACTTAAGATCAAGGACCAAAAGAAGGTGGAGCGACAGTTCAGCACCTCCAGTGACCATGAGCAGCCTGGAGTTTTGGGCTGACCTCTGCAGCTGCACAGGCCCTGCCAAGGCCTCGTCTGCTCATGCCTTCCTTTCCATTTTTCCTCTCAAGGCATACTGTTCCTTTTCTCCCTGGAGCTGAGTGTTGTGGGTGGAAAGACAGCTGAAGGAGGCACAGAAGCCTTAGATTCCTTGGGGTTGCATCTCCTGGCACCAGCTGCTTCCAGGGCCCAGGAAAAAGGTGGTGCCCCCACCTTCCTCTTTGCCCAGTGGGAGCCCGCCTGGCACCCAGCCACGCCTGCGTAGTGTTAGAGGCTCTCAGATCCACTCTACTTGCCTCCTGCTGCTGTGTCCCATAAGTGGCCTGGCCACACACAGTCTCCCACCCACAGGATACTGTCTTGCAGCTGTGTGGTCCAGGGTCATGGGCTTGTTTGGGCACCAAAGTGACAGAAGCTTCAGGGTACTCTCTGGGAGCCCTTGAGCCTAAGCCTACTGACTGAAGAACACAGACAAAAATCATCACAGGGTGGCTACTGCAAACAGGCATGACATTATGTGCTCTCTCAGTTCATTATCTTACTGTTAACTTTAAGCGCATATCCCTCAGGTCCTAATATCTTTCCTTGGATTTATTTCAGTTGGCTAAAAATTACACTGTGCTCAATGCCTTAATAAATCCCTAAAAGAAATAAAATCCACACTGTGTACAGTGCCTTACTGTGGCCCTTGCACACTGCTTTTAGACCTCTTAGCTTCTCCCAGGGCCAGGTACAGGGCCTGGGCTGTGTTCAGAAAGTTGGAAGACAGTCCCCCAGATGGGGTGGGGAGTGCAATCCTTGCCAGATTGGATGTGGCAATAGAAGGTGCTGGTGCAGGCTGGGCAGGGCCTCTATTGACCTGTGATGAGGGCCACCCTGATCCCTACCCATCTCTTTGAGTGGGAAGCTATGCAGGAAGTTGAGTCCTTGGGGCTGGGCCACAGAAAGTCATTGACCCTGAGGTTTAGGAACCAGACTGTGGGGCCACAGGCTGAGCCAGAGTAGGGCTGAGTCACAAGAAGCCCTCACTTTGCAACAAGAGCTAAAGCTGATCATTGGTGTCCAGTGTTTTGCCCACACACAGGGCTGCTCCTGCTTCTATTATAAGATACAGCAGTCTCCCCTTTATGCCCAGGGAATATGTTCCAAGTCCTCTGAGTGGGGGCCTGAAACTTCAAATAGTCCTGAGCCCTATATATACTGTGTCTTTCTTATACATGCATACCTAAGAAAAAGTTTAATGTATGAATTAGGCACAGTAGGAGACTGACAACAATAATAATAAAACAAAAATTATGAGAATATACTGTAATAAAAACTATGTGAATGTGGTATTCCTCTCACAAAATCTCATTGTACAGCACTCATCTATTTTCCAAAGGGTGGTTGACAGGGTAAATGATGCCACAGAAAGTAAAACCTGGGGTAGAGGGGTCTACTATATACACTGTACATATATATATGTGTATGTCTATATATATGTATGCATGTATGTGTATATACACATATATACAGTATATCTGTGGCTACTGGCTTTTGATTTTTGCAGTTTAGTAGCTTTTGTTGTTTTTCTTAAAACAGAGTCTCACTAGGTCACCCTGGGTACAGTGTCATGGTGTCACAGCTCACAGCAACCTCAAACTCTTGGGCTTAAGCGATTCTCTTGCTTCAGCCTCCCAAGTAGCTGGAACTACAGGTACCCGCCATAACCCCCAGCTATTTTTTTGTTGTAGTTGTCATTGTTGTCTAGCTGGCCCAGGCCAACTTCAAACCTTCCAGCTTCAGTGTATGTGGCTGGCGCTAGAACCACTGTGCTACGGGCCCTAACGCTGCCATTTAGTAGCTTTAATGAGGTACAATTTACATACCATAAAATTCGTTTGTTTTGATTTACAATTCAGTGATTAGTAAGAAATTTACAGAGTTAGACAACTATCTCCACAAATGCAAGTTTGGAACTTTTCCATTACCCCAGAAAAGACCCCTTAGGCTCATTTTAGCCAATCCCTCTCTCCACCCCTAGTCTCTAAAGATTTTATGGCTGGTTTTAAAAATTATGCTTTGGCCAGGCATGGAGGCTCATGCCTGTAATCTTTTTTTTTTT